AGGCCGACACCTGGCCACGTTTACACGTCGGCCGGGGTCGAGCCTGTACACACTGACCACATAGTCTCCTCCAGTCACTGCGTCTGGTCAGGTAGCTGCGTCGGGTGAGGTGTTTGCTGCAGCGTCCAGGTCTGGTCCTGAGTCTGCCCCCTGCTCGTGTCGCCTCCTGTCTCACGAGACTCTCCTCTGGCACCACCGTCTTGGTCACCCCTCCCTGCCTCGTCTCCGAGGCATGGCTTCCCGTGTCCTTGTCTCTGGTCTTCCCCGGTCCCTCGCTCCCCTTCCTCCGAGGCGTGGTCCTTCCTGTGTCCCCTATGTCGAGGGGCGGCTCCGGGCTGCCCCTCACTCCTCTCAGTTTCCCCCGACAGAGGCCCCGCTGCAGACGCTTCACATGGACGTGTGGGGCCCGGCCCGCGTACGTGGACAGGGTCACGAGCGCTACTTCCTGCTGGTGGTTGACGACTACTCGCGTTACACCACAGTCTTCCCCTTGCGCAGCAAGGGTGATGTCGCTGAGGTGTTGATCGACTAGATCCGCGCAGCTCGTCTCCAGCTCAGGAGGAGCTTCGGCTCGGACTTTCCTGTTCTGCGTCTGCACTCTGACCGAGGCAGAGAGTTCTCCTCTGGCCTTCTGCGAGCCTACTGTCGTGCGCGAGGCATCCGCCAGACCTTTACGCTTCCGGACTCTCCACAGCAAAATGGGATTGCTGAGCGCCGCATTGGCATGGTCATGGACGTCGCTCGTACGTCCATGATGCATGCGGCTGCCCCCCATTTTCTGTGGCCGTTTGCGGTTCGGTACGCGGCGCATCAGATCAACCTTCACCCCAGGGTCTCCAGACCGGAGACCTCCCCAGCCTTGCTGTGGACGGGGAAGGTCGGCGATGCGTCTGCGTTCCGTGTCTGGGGATCTCGGGCGTTTGTCCGCGACTTGTCTGCGGACAAGCTGTCCCCTCGTGCTGCTCCCTGTGTCTTCCTTGGCTTCCCCCCTGACGCCTCTGGGTGTCAGTTCTACCACCCCACCTCTCGTCGTGTTCTGTCCTCCCAGGACGTCGCGTTCGACGAGTCAGTACCCTACTACCGCCTCTTCCCCTACCGCACTCCTTCCCTCCCCCCGCCACCGCACTTCCTTGTGCCAGGTCCCCCCCCCGTAGACCCCCTCCCCCCTCAGGGTCCTGCCCCTTCATGTGTGTCCCAGGTAGATGCAGTTGAGCCGGTCGAGGTTGCTGGTGACTCTGGTACTGCTGCGGGTGCTGAGCCTGGGGGTGCTGACTCTGGGGGTGCTGCGCGCGTGGGTGCTGAGCCTGGGGGTGCTGCGTATGGGGATGCTGCGACTGGGGGTGGTGAGCCTGGGGGTGCTGAGCCTGGGGGTGCTACGATTGGGGGTGCTGAGCCTGGGGGTCCTTCGCCTGGGGGTGCTGCGTCTGGAGCTGCTGAGCCTGGGGGTGCTGAGTCTGGAGCTACAGAGCCTGGGGGTGCGGAGCCCGCGGCCGCTGGACCTGCTCGTGTGGCGTCTGGCGGTGCTGGGCATGCTGGTTCTCCAGGTGCTTCGTCTCGGCGGGAGCCACTCTCTCCACAGGAGCTGCGCGAGTGGTTTGCCCGGCGCTGGAGGCGTTCTACTGGAGCTGGTGCTTCTTCGGCTGCTGAGGGTGCTGGTGCCGCCGGTCTCGGAGGTGCTAGTCCTGCGAGTGCTACTGGAGTCGGAGCTGCTGAGGGTGTTGGCGCTGAGGCTACTGCTGTCAGTCCTGGCGGCGATCCTGCTGCGGGTGCTACTAGTGCTGCTGGAGGTACTGGAGCTAAAGGTGCTGCTGACGCTGGTGCTGCCGCTGGGGGTACTGGTGCTGTCCCTGCTGTGTCTGGAGTCGCCGCGCAGCCTCGGCCGTACTTTGTTCCGCTCCTTCAGCAGGTTCTTGGTCTTCCTCCTCCCTTAGAGTGTCCACCGCCTGTCCAGTCGCAGTCACAGTTACCACCGGTCTCCCCACTGCCTTCTCCTTCTTCGTACACTGGTCCTACTGGAGGTCTTGCTGAGCGTGGTGAGCCTGCATCTCGTCCTGCGTCGCCTGTTCGTGCTGCTCGCACTAGTGGTCGCAGTTCGCGTCAGCGTCCTCCTCCTGTCCCTGGCACGCACCGGATGTCTCTGCGTCCGTCCACTGCTCCTCTGCGTGCCCCTTTGCCCTCTCCTCCTGAGTCCTCTCTTCCTGTGCTTGCCGACCCTGAGTCGGACTCTCTTCGTGCTGCCAGTCCTACTGTCACGCGTCTCCTTGCTACTGTCGTCACTGACCCCTCCTTTGAGTCCACTGCTGCGTCTCCTCTTGTTGTTGAGCTCGTCGACTTTGCTGCTCGCTGTCGTCTAGACTACGCTGCTAGTCTTGTTGCTGAGTCCGCGTCTATCTGTCCTCCGTCCGTTGGGGGTGAGTGTGCTCTTGGTACGGACGTCCTTGAGGACAGGCAGGAGGAGTTCCAGTGTCTGGCTGCTGCTTCACCTCATCTCGCGTCCGTATTGCTTACCCCTGAGGGAGACCCGGACGCACTAGACATCCCGACTCCGCGCTCTTACGCGGAGGCCGTAGAGGGTTCCTACTCCTCTCAGTGGCAGGCAGCTATGGATGTAGAGATGGCTTCTTGGAAGTCCACAGGCACCTACGTTGACGCGGTTCCCCCTCCTGGGGCGAACATCGTCAGTCGCATGTGGATCTTCAGGATGAAGCGGCCGCCGGGCTCTCCACCTGTCTTCAAGGCGCGGTACGTGGCTCGTGGCTTCAGTCAGCGGCAGGGAGTTGACTACTTTCATACCTTCTCTCCCACCCCGAAGATGACCACTCTTCGGGTGCTGCTACACGTAGCCGCTCAGCGTGACTACGAGCTTCACTCTCTTGACTTCAGCACTGCTTTCCTGCAGGGTAGCCTGCACGAGGAGATCTGGTTGCGCCGTCCACCTGGCTTCACTGGGACTTTCTCTCCTGGCACCCAGTGGAGCCTCCGACGGCTAGTCTACGGTCTCCGCTAGGCACCGCGCGAGTGGCACGACACACTGAGGACTACACTTGCGGCTCTTGGGTTTGCTCCCTCTACTGCTGACCCGTCGCTGTTTCTACGCACCGACACCTCTCTGCCGCCGTTCTACATCCTCGTGTACGTCGACGACTTGGTCTTTGCCACAGCTGACACTGCTGGACTCGCCCACGTGAAGTCCGAGCTGCAGAAGAGACACACGTGCACAGACCTGGGTGAACTGCGCAGCTACCTTGGCTTGCAGATCACCCAAGACAGAGCACGCCGCACCATTACCCTGACTCAGTCACACAAGGTGCAGCAGGTCCTTCAGCGCTTTGGCTTCACGTACTTCTCGCCTCAGGCCACTCCTTTGTCTACTCGCCACTCGCTCTCAGCTCTGCCTTCGGATGAGTCCGTAGAGTCGAGTGGCCCGTACCCAGAGCTTGTTGGCTGCCTCATGTACGTGATGACCTGCACACGACCTGACCTTGCATACCCTCTTAGCATTCTTTGCACGCTATGTTGCTCCTGGGAGACACAGACCAGAGCACATGGCTGCAGCGAAGAGGGTGTTGCGCTACTTGTGCAGTACGTCGGGCATGGGGCTAGTGCTTGGAGGGCGGAGTCCAGTGGTCCTCACTGGGCACGCGGACGTTTCTTGGGCTGACGACCAGGCTACGCAGCGGTCGTCACAGGGTTACACCTTCAGCCTTGGTTCCGGCTCTGTTTCGTGGCGTGCTACTCGCTCGTCTTCTGTTCTCGGCTCCAGTTGTGAGGCTGAGATCTACGCCGGGGCCATGGCTGCTCAGGAGCTTCGCTGGCTTACCTACCTGCTGACTGACCTCGGAGAGCCGCCTCGTTCTCCTCCAGTGCTGTACGTAGACAACAAGGCCATGTTAGCCTTATGTCGGGAGCAGCGCCTGGAGCACAGAACGAAGCACATTGCTCTCCGCTACTTTCTTGCTCGTGAGTTGCAGCATCGTGGTCAGTTGCGACTTGCGTACGTGGCCTCTGAGGCCAACACTGCTGATGTTTTCACCAAGGCACTTCCGCCTTGTGATCATCAGCGCTTCTGCACTCAGCTGGGTCTTGTGCCTGTCTTGCCTCACTTGCTCACCCCTTGACCTTGCTTGTACTCTTACATATATATATACCTGCTCTTGCTTGTTTAGCCATATATATATATATATATATATGTGTACTCCTGCATGTGAACTGGCCTTGTGGCCTTGACCTTGTGCTCGGACTGTGTGGTGACGTTGTGATCCACCCTGAGCTTTGTCTGCTTTGCCTGACTGGTCTTGTGACCCCTTGTTCTCCCCCACTTTGCCTATGGGGGTGTGTCAAATTATAATATTGTGTAGGCTATAGTGGGGTAGCCCATATGGGGTACACATTTCTAGGGTTGCATATTTGTATCACTTCCATTCCTTAGTCATTCATTCTCGTTCACATCTTCTCACTGAGGATAGCTGGGTGCTCCTGGCCAACATCGAAAACCACCCTGCCCTGCAAGTGTACGTGAGGAGCCGGGGTTTCCGCGATATACACGCACTCGCGCAGCCGTGGGGGCTTCTTGAGGGGGGGGTAGTGTAAGGAATTTTCTCGATATTCCTTAGCGCGCCCTGCAACATCGCACATTGCAGCAGCCGTTGTTCGCCCGTTACTGCTAACGGGACTTCGCCAACTTCGCGCGCACTGTTTTCCCAAACCTTGCACTGCTGGACTGGCCGTGTCGGCCTACGCTTCAGGACTAGCCCGAGCCTCGCGTCCAGCGTAGCACTAGCTAGCTCGCACGCACCGCGTTAACGTTTGCTTGTTTCGCCGATAAATGTTCGCTCATGCCTTGCTCACATCTTTGTACTCGTTTGACACCTTAGTGCAATTCTCGCTACTTCGATTCATTGCACCCGTAACAGTGATGATTTTTCCACCTTGCAGCATCCAACTTTCCATCGCCTCTCCGCATCTTCCGCCGCGATCAGAGCAGACTGTGATCTTTCCTCATGTCCACTCTTCTACCATTTGATGTCATTTCCGTCGCAGCCGCGTCGAAGCTTGGTCATTCCCCGTCGTCGTCCGCCGTCAGCAGCATTGCGACTAGTGTCGCAGCTAATCACAATCACCACAGGTTACCTGAACTTCGTCCAGGCGTCGCATTCGCGCATCCATCGCCACTGCTGAAACGTCTTGTCTTCTCGCACGCGTGTCCTCACCGCATCTCCCGCCAATTTCGCATCGCTGCAACCATCTCCTCCTCATCCTTCCCATCCTCGTCTCAATCCCCCGAGTTTCCCGTAATGTCTGCCGCGGAATCTCAGTCGCCGGCAACTGTGCCGGAGCGTGCCGTCCGCTTTACAGTAACTAACGGCGACGGCAGCAAGCTCTCCGCGTTTCTCGTGGAGCCGAACGCGGCTCTCCCCGATACGACGTTCCCGGACGGTGCGATCCGTGAAAGCGCGAATGGCGGCGATCGCAGCGTCGCGGATGGCAGAGCGAAAGTGGTGATCATCTGCCATGGATTCCGGTCTACCAAGGTGTGCGACAGAATCTGTGCCGCAACGGTCTGACATGCTGAAAGAAATTGGATCATACGCACTCTCCTCTCTCCTCGCCCCTCCCACTTGCTTTTTTCGTGACAGATCAATAGTCTACCCCAGTAGTCGCATTCCCTATTCCCAATGCCGCCTCAGCAGAGAGGCGCCAACCCCGCTCTCCCACCCTTTCCCGCGTGGCCCTTTCACCGACTTCCACGCCCCGCCAATTCGTCCGTGTTCCAGTTGCGCGTGCCGTGGGTGGCGGTGACTGACTGGTAGCTGACCTCTTTCCACGCCTTAACCCCACCCCTCCTCTTCCTCTCCCATCCCCACCCCACTGTGTGGCGGTGACTGACTGACTGTCTGACTGACTGACTAACTGACCGGTGCAGCTGAGCTCTACGGTCCAGAAGCTGTCGGATGCGATCCTGGCCGCAGGATTCGCCACTGTGCGATTCGACTTCTCCGGCAACGGGTGAGGAACGCACGCAACTATGCTTGTTCCTCCTCTCCCATCACTCCCCACTCCCCCCTCGTACGTTTTGTTTCCTCCGTACCATGGGCCCGGGCACTTTGAGTCGAATCAAAGTCTCTCCACTCCCCAACCCTCGAATTGTCCCTTCTCCACACTGTCTCTCTCCCACGCTGTGCCACTCCCACGCTGTGCCACTCCCACGCTGTGCCACTCCTGCGCTTTGCCACTCCCACGCTTTGCCATTCCCGCGCTGTGCCACTCCCGCGCTGTGCCACTCCCGCACTGTGCCACTCCCGTGCTGTTTCCCCCCCGCACCATTCGGCAGGGAGAGCGAGGGCGCATTCGCGACGGGTAACTACCGGCATGAGGCAGCAGACCTGCACTCCGTGGTGGAGTGGGTGCGGGCGCAGGGCAGGCATGTGGAAGCGGTGGTTGGGCACAGCAAAGGTGCTGCTGGGATAAGGAAAATGAAGGATTACATGTTGCATTTTGCTTGTTGGTTCAGTAGGGGTGATGAACGGGGGGTGATGAGCTAAAGGCTGCTATTAAAACCATTGAATCACCATTGGCAGCAGTATTCCTTAATCAACTGTGTGGTGCTGTGTGGTGCTGTATGCGTCCTTGTACAAGGACGTGCCCAAGGTCATCAATGTCAGTGGCCGCTACCTGTACTCAACTAATCACCAGTGGCGACAGTGTTTCCCAATCCCTCTCTCTGTCTCCCTCTCACTCACGCACGCACACACTCACGCACGCACGCATGCCCGTGTTCAGGTGGCAACTGTGTGGTGCTGTATGCCTCCTTGTACAAGGACGTGCCCAAGGTCATCAATGTCAGTGGCCGCTACGACCTCTCAAGGGGCATCAGGGAGCGATTCGGGGAGGAGGGAATGGCGAAGCTGGAGAAGGAGGGGCAGCTAACCCAGCAGGACAAATATGGTGTGTTGCTGGTACACTGGGATCAAGTCTCTTGTCTCTACTGCGTTTGTTATTTCCCCTTCTTCCTCATTTTATGCATCATCTCTTGCTGCTGCACTTTTTCCAACCTGTATCCACCCTACTCGTACTGTCACACTCATCGACCCGTACATAGGCTCATACATTGTAACAAAAGAGAGTATTCAAGAGCGCCTTGCAACGGACATGGCTGCTGCGGCACGCGCCATCCCAACATCTTGCAGGTATGCGATATCCTACTGTACTTGCTAAATGTGCTGCCTGATTTTCTTTTCTGGAAAAAAATCAATTTTGAGTTCTGCCATGTGGTCCTCTCCAGTTTATCTTCCTTATCTTAGAAGTATGTCATTATCCCTTACTTCTCATCGGAATCTCGTGTTGACTCGTCAGAATCAAATGCTATGCCCTGACTCCTGTGCTCATTAACAGTGTGTGTACAATCCATGGATCAGAAGACGCCACAGTGCCAGTCGAAGACGCGAGCTTTTTCCACACAGATGTTCCCAACCATCACCTTCACATCATTGACGGTGCCTGTCATAACTTCAGGATCCACGGTCGGGAGTTGGGTGAGGCAGCTGTTGCTTTCCTCCTCAACAAGCCTGTGTAGCGGATCTTAGGGGCACAGCTTATATGTTGGGATGAACCTTTAATTCATCCATCTCTTTAACACACTAGAAGCAGTAGAGTAGATAGATTGGTTTTTCATACATGGTGGGTTTGACAACAAAGAGGATTTGGCGCTTACTGTGCAGTTCACTGTTGAATGGGACCATCACTTGTTCCGCGATCTGATTGGCTCAACCTGGTCGTAACCTGCCCTGCCTGGCCTTTCAACAGCGTCAATTGCCCTTGGAAACACAAACCAAACATTCTCCTTGCCCCGCGCTCGTCATCGCATAGGCGGGCGGAGCTATCACTTCCCCCTTCTTTTCCGCCGTCTGGGCAACTTCTCTGCGAATCCGCAAAATGGTCCTTAGCGGAAAAGCGGACTTGCGCACACCGCGGGGCAATCCCAAGAATGTTCATCATCCACCCACTCCCCTCGATATTGTACGGCAGCAATACTACCTATCACCCACTTAGCGCTTAGCACTAGGAATCAACATCCGTCATCGCAGTCCGCGCCAGGTGCTACGCTGCACCGCTTTGCTTGATCCGCGGTGAAGCTCCACCGCCGTCTCGTTCAATGCTGGCACGCATTGCTTAGCATAACTGCATTCGCTCTTCTTCTACTTGAGATTCGACAAACCGTGTGCACATCGCGGCTGATGGTTGGCACAATGAAGGTTCCCTGGAAGGTGGCGTCCGGGTCCGTGACCGTTCTCGCTCTTTCGCTGCTCGCTGCTATCTCCGCCGCTGGCGCGTCCACAGGAGGCCTCGATGCCGGTATCAGTCGCTAACAGAACACCTTTTGCGTACTCAAATCGGTGTTTTTGTGTTGATAAGCTTTTAGAGCCCGTAAATGAGGCTCGCTCGTGTTTCGTGACCCTCAGCCCGCTTTAAACGTTCAGCCTTCCTTCTCTTCCAATCTGTCTCGCTTCATTCCGTTTTTCGACGCAACCTCAACCGCAACCTCCGTTTCTGTTCACCTCACTCGTACTCATTCCATCGGGGTTTTCCGACATTGCTGTACGCGCTGATTGCGCCAGCCTCCTTCCGTCCCCCACTTCCTGCGCCATTCCTGGTCCCACTCCCCATGCCCCTTCTCTTCCCTTTTCCTTTCCCCTCTCCCCTCTCTCGCGCTACTCTACCCTCCCCTTCCTGCCCCTCCCCTCATCCCCCCTTCTCCCGTCCACCCGCCCACCTCCACACCGTCCCCCCGCCCTTCCACCGCGCGCCAGTCCCCGTGCGCATTGACTGCGGCAGCGCACAGCCATCCGTGGCAAACGGAGTGGAGTGGCAGGCGGACGCGTTTTTCGACGGCGGGGAGGCAGTGCAGCTTCCCGCGGGCAACGAGTCGCGCCTCGCATCCTCCGTCGAGTCCTCGCTGCGCGCCTTCCCCCCGTCCACCAGCCAGTCCGGCCAGGGCGGCGGCTGCTACAACGTCCCGCTCACCACCGGCGCGCGATACCTCGTCCGCGTCGGCGTCGCGTATCGGAACTACGATGGCGCGTCGTCGCCTCCTTTTTTCGACATTAAGATCAACGGGCTACTCGTGAAGACCCTCACTCTCCCAGCCGTCGAGCCGCAGTTCCCATCGTCTGCTTTCTACTCCGATTTCCTGGTATACGCGCTACAAGGTTCCATCTCCGTCTGCTTTACACCGTTCCTCGGCGCCCCATCTTCCACCCCATTGGTCAATTCCCTTGAGTTCCTCCCGATCCACCCAGAGTCATACGACGCAGCTAGCATCGGCACCGATGCTATCCTCTCCACCCTGCTCCGAATCAACTTTGGAGGCCCGGAGGTTACCGATGCTGAGGATGTTGGTTACCGAACCTGGGCTCGCGACGTCAACCCTGGCGTTCCAGGAGGAGGCCCCACCAGGGGCCTACAGCCTCTGCAATTTGCCACCCTATCCACCACCCAGTCCATTTCAAATGCAGGGTCGCCGCCCGACGAGCTGCCCGCGCAAATCTTTCAGTCTGCCCGGGTGGGTAAGGACGCAGGTGTGGGCCGCGCAACGGGGTTTATTTACCGAATGGACCCACAGAACCCCCTCCACCTGTTCTACGTGCGGCTACACTTTGCGGAGATAGAGGAGGGTGTGAAGCAGGGAGACCGACGGTTTGACATTAAACTGTCAGAGGACAGCATTTTTGGTCACGAGGGTCAGCACCTGGACGAAGATACAGTAGACCAGCAAGGAAAGCTCTGGCCCAACGGGTTTGACATCATTGAGGCTGCTAACGGGTCTGCCTTTACGGGGATTACACTGCCGATATTCTTCAATTACTCGGTGTATGCGGAGAATTACGGACGGGAGCTGCGGGTGTGGCTGCCTGCTATGCCCGAATCGCCCAAGCCCCCTCTGCTGTCTGCTGTGGAGCTCTACGAGATCACGCGCACACCTGTTGATGGATACGTGTACCGAGGTGATGGCTGCTTGTGTTTTTCTGAACTTTGTCCTTGGGGGTGCTGGTGGTTTACTTTCACTTAAGGAAGTGCGCTGAATTGCTGTGTCTTACTTCTCTTTTGTGGTGTTGCTCTTCTTCTTAATCCCGGGGTGGTCATGCAGGCGTGACGGGCAGTGACATTGCAGGCATTGTGATGGCGTGCGTCTTTGGTGTCATTTTTGTGCTGCTCCTTGCATGGCTCCTGGCCGCCCGCTTCACTCGCAGCTCCCGCCAGTATGCCATCTTTGGCGCTTCCGGTGAGACTCGCAGCTTCCAGCATTCCCCCTGACTCTCATGCCTTGGAGCTTTCTCTGCTAGTTGCAATAAATCCCATTTTTGCCAGTTTTGCTTAGTTGTTCCCGCTCAAATTTCCGTGTCATATGCACTCCATCTTGTGTTGGGCCATCTCTGCCTGTGGCAGGTAAACACAACCGCAGCAGCAATATCTAATGGCCTTCCACATCTCGCAGACATGTATTTAAGCTGTGTGGATTGTAAGAATATCAAAAATATTCCTAAGTGGGTAGCAGAGCATTGCACATACAACAGTTGTCATTTGTTCATTTTAGAGATTCTGCTGTCTAGGTTCACGTAGAAATGTACGTAGGCCGAATAAATAGATTACAACATTGCGACAGCAGAATTCATTATCCTGGTTCTAGGGAACAGTTGTGGACGAGATGGTGGTCGAACGAAAATCTCGGGGATTGGTGTTTGCAAATATCTGTTTGGCTGGTGTGGAATGCAACTCCCACGCCACTGGAGAGAAAGGCTCTGGAAGCCCCATGTTTCTTTTGCAAGCTGCCCCATGGCCTGCACTTGCGGGTGGCGGCGCTGTGACGTTGATTTGCTGGTGCCACGTCACATCCTCCCCCCAAGCCCAACCAGCACAAGATCAAGGTGGAACACAGAGATCTTCGCGCTTTGGGTCAGGAAAAAATGCGTTCCTGCCCTTTCCTCTCCACCGGTGTCCATCCAGCCGTTCATTCATCTAAATGACAAGATCCAGGAGTTTCTGCGGATAATGAAAAAAATGTTCCGGACGCGGCAGCTTCTGTGGAATACCCCAAGAACCCCCCACCCAGACGTGTCCAGCAGCTTCCCCCAGCTGTCTTCCGTTCGCATCACAACCACAACCCTTACTCCGCTGACTCTTCTCTCCGTCCCCCTGTTTGTCTTTCTAACACCCGCTCTCCCTGTCCGTTAGCAGTCGCCTTCTTTAGCCGCCATACCCTTCGCACCTACCTTACGATCTGACTCTTCATTCCTTAGTTTCTTCCTCCGTCCTTCAATCCCGCGTTTCAATGGCCGGAGTTGCGGCTCCAGGTCCTTCAGACTCAAGTAATTATAGGGCTTTGCACGTTGGATGTACTAGGGGGTTAGGGTGGAAGTCACGTGCGAGGGTTTTGTGTTAAAGCCTTTCTATTGTGTTTGGAATAGATCTAAGAGCCTTTTGATGTACAGGACGCCGTCGTCCCAAGTTGGTTGTCCGCTGTCCTCATTTTCAATTTTCGCTAAAAGCATAGACAGGATCTTTTTAGGCTGCAACGTATCTCGCAAGAAAAACCGTGATTTAACGAGGTTTTTCGACAAGATAGGGATATCATCTGTCGTCTTTGTTTTACATGAAATCTCGTGCAAGAGTCGCTTGCACAAGTATAGATCACGATTCTTGTTTTTTTACTTTGCCACGATTGTGGCTGTTGAATATTTCTCACAACGGCTTGCCCTTCTCCGCCTTTTTTTTTCCCGTCTTATGCAGATCAGACTAACGCACCCACCCCTGGGTCTTCATCCATTGGTGCAGAGGTCCGTGTACCTTTCCGTTAAACCCGCTTCTTTTTCTGACTATTACGACGTCATTCAAGGCCCTTTTCCCCATTTTTCATCTTCGCGTTTCAACTTGATAAATCCACTATAAAGGAACCATTGCTCAGCCGGCTCAACGAAGAAATGACTTGCGATTGCATTTGAAGAAATGAGTTCTGATTGCATACAAGCATTGTCATTGCGGTTCCCACTCTTGTTTCCAAAACCCCGTTCTTCGGCATTTTCGCCATCAGCCAGCAGGCGATGCGGTCGTCCAATCCAGCCAGAGCGGGGAGGCAGTTTCGGGAAGCGGCAATGCGCAGCAATCACAGCAGCCTTCCCAGCAGCAGCAGCAGCAGCAACCACAGCAGCCACACCCGGGCATTTCGCAAACGCCAGATCAGCTGCATCTGCAACAGCAGCAGCACATGCAGCAGCAGCAGCAGCAACAGCAGCACGTTCAGATGGTTCCAGGATCAGACCCCAACGGGAATGTGTTTTATGCGGCGGGGAACGGATTCGTTCCGCACTACTTTTATGATTATTCTGCAGGTACGTTCCCCGTTCAGTTTGATTTTAGAAACCCACACATTCAGAACGCTTTCAAAAACATGGATCCATTTCCCCTGCGTTTTGACCACATTCGCTGCTGTCGCGCTGTCAAACTCATTTTCTAATTTTCGTCTTTGCGTTGTCGAATCCGCTTTTCCGTGTTCCCGTCGGCGCAGATCCTGGAAGGTTATCCCACGAGCAGTGGGAGGAATACATGCGCATGGCCAACAGCGGTGCTCCCGGAGGGGGCCCCCCTCTCGTCGGTCTCATGCCTGAAGGCATAGAAGGCCATCCTCCCCAGGTGAGAATCGATTGGTGTTCGGCTTGCGAAATATTGTTTTCTTCATTGCATGCGTGCCGATTCCTTAACTATCCATTTGCGTGCTCGTTTGTTTACTTCCTGTGCTCACCCTGTGTCGTTCCGTTCCCTTCACCGGCCTTGTTTCCTGTGTGTGATTCTGATGCGCTTCAGATGTACGCGCCACACCACTTCCAGTTCCAGCCGCCCGTCTTCCCACCGCCTGTTCCTCCCCCTCCTGCTGGTAAGCTTTCCACTACTGGGAAACAACGAACAACTTCCGACCGATCGAACAATTTCTGTGGCCTTCCCGTCTTCCGCCTTGTGTTTTTTTATTTGTCAAGAATCATCGGCCTTGCTAAATCTTGTGCATCTTCTCCCTTCCTCCCCTCCTTCCCGTCAGATCCATCGAAGCTCGCGGCACTGCCCGATCAGCTGACTCAGCCCGCCAGCTCGTCCGCGCCCGCACCAGCGGACGCCATGGCGGGTCCCATGCCGCTCCTTCCAGGCCAGCCCCTGCCCGCGGGAATCGCCCCGCCGCCGCACCTTGCGCACATGCAGGTCCGTGCTCTCGCTGCTGCGGATCTTGCTTTGCTGCTGTTTCCGTGGGCTTGCGTCCACAACGGTGGTTTACAGTCTCCGGCTTCTTCTTGCGTCGTAGGATTGCTGTTCTAGGATGTACGATTCCTGTATAGTCTCCGGCGCTGCGGGCTGCTTACCAAGGCATGATTTGCTACTCTTGCCGCCACCGCACCATTCATGCCGTCCGAGGGTTTGTAAAAACTGGTGGTCTGCCCCTCTCGAAACACAAACGCGCTTTCTCCGTTTCCGCTCCTTGCCTTCGTGCATGTCACCCCTGCACTTTCCCAGATGCACGGCGTCCCCCCTAACGGTGTCATGCCACCTCAAGGCGTCCCGCTTCCCGGCGGGCCGCCGCCCCCCGGAGGCCCAGGCGCCGCACCGGGGGCGCCAATTCCCATGCGCGGCCCCCCTGGCGCGCACCTCGGAAACATGCCCGCGGGCATGCACGGCCGCGGCGGAATGGGCCCCGGGGGAGTTGGCGGGCGTGGAAGGGGGGATGGGGGCCGGGGAGGACGGGGCTGGGGCGGAGGCCCCGGGGGGTATGACAAGGGAAGAGGCGGAAGGGGAGCGAGAGGTGCCAGGGGAGGGTACGGCGGGTATCCGGGGGGGATGATGATGATGGGCGCACCTGGTGGGGGGCGTGGGATGCAAGGCAACGGGATGCATGAGGCCGTGAACGAGCAGAACCGCGGGCCGAGGACCAACCGGGCGGGGCGGGGGAAGCAGCCGCAGCAGGCAATGGGAGCAGCAGGTGCGGCGGGTGCACCTGCTGACGGCAGTGCGCAGGCAGGTGCTGCTGCAGCGGCAGGAGCAGCAGGGGCGCAGGGTGGGGTAGCAGGGTCAGAAGGAGCGGCTAACAGCGGTGCGTCTTCCTCTGCTGCCGCCGGCACCGCTACTGGCGCTGCTGCTGGCGGTGCTGCTGCTAACACTGCAGCGGCAGAAGGCGGCGCTGCGAATGCAAGCAATGCCGCTGCGCTCCCTGCTCTCGCCGGCACGCCCGGGTTCCTCGCGTTTCCTGGCATGCCCGGCGGTCCTGCGCCCGGATCGTATGCCACTCCCGCCATGGGAGCCCCCCCCGCCAATCCTGCTGCCGCCGCCGCCGCCGCCGCTGGTGTTGCGGGCGTTGGCGCGCCGAATCCCTGGAGCCTTGTACAGGGTATGGAGGAGATTAATAGGGCGGATTTCCCGGTGACGTACCAGGCGGCAAAGTTTTTCGTGATCAAGAGTTACAGCGAGGACGACGTGCACAAAAGTATTAAGTACGGCGCGTGGGCGTCCACCCCCAACGGCAACAAGCGGCTCAACGCCGCGTTCCAGGAAGCTGCCGCGAAGACCGCTGCGACCGGGTCGCGATGCCCCGTGTTCCTCTTTTTCTCGGTGCGTGCAATCTCCTTTGCATGGCCTGTCCCTGATTCTCACCATTGGTTCTGCTAGCCGTTCTGCATTTTGCCATGCCATATCTCTCTTTCATTGTACCCTGCCCTCTCTCCTCTCCCCCCTGAACCTTCCCGCCAACCCCCAGCTCCCTTCTCTTTGTCCTCGCTTTCTGATCTCACATTTCAGCAAAAACATATGCATTGTTCAAAAGGATAACCACCTGTTGCCAACTGCCCTCGTCATCCTGTTCTCACCCGCACCACCACCCTTACCTCCTCCGCGCTTCACCCCACCGCGCGTCTCTGCGCCCTGCGTCGCCCCTCCGGCAGTCCCGGTGGCTGGCGGAGATAATGTCCCCTCACATGCTTCCTCTTCCCCTCTCCCGGCCCTTTATCCCGTCCTTTCTCCCCAACACCCCACCTTGCTTCCCCCCCGCCAGGTGAACGCGAGTGGTCAGTTCTGCGGCGTGGCGGAGATGATGTCCCCTGTGGACTTCCAGCGGTCGGTGTCGTTCTGGCAGCAGGACAAGTGGAATGGGCTGTTCACGGTGCGCTGGCACGTGATCAAGGACGTGCCAAACGCGCACTTCCGCCACATGATCATTGCGGCCAACGAGAACAAGCCCGTCACCAACAGCCGCGACACCCAGGAGGTAGGGGTTTTGGATGAGGGAGAGTGGGAGGTGGTCGGAGGTGGCGGAAGGATTTTTTTTGTGAGGGAAAGGGGGCGGATGGGAGGGAGGGGAGTGGATGGGGGGGGGGGGGGGGGTTTGGATGAAGGGTTGGTGGTGTGCGGTTGGGGGAAGTGGAGGTGGGGTGGTGAGAGCTGGGTGGGATGATGCTGATGTTTTGTAGGTGTTTTGGAAGGGTTTCGGGTTCAATGGTTGTTGCGTTCATGTGGGATGTTAATGCTTGTGTTTGTATGCACGCATGCTGCATGTGATATTGTCGGTGTGCATGCATGTGTGGATGTGGGTGTGTGTGCGTGTGTGTGCGTGTGTGCGTGTGTGCGTGTGTGTGCGTGTGTGCGTGTGTGTGCGTGTGTGCGTGTGTATGCGTGTGTGTGCATGCTTGCATCTGTGCAGGTGCCGCAAGAGCAAGGGCAGCAGATGCTGCGCATATTCAAAGACTACATGTCCCGCACCTCCATTCTCGACGACTTTGACTTTTATGACAAGAGGCAGAAGGCCATGCAGGCCCGCAAGGAGCGGCTGCAGTACCAGCAGCACCACCCGCACCCCCAGCACCCACAGCAGCAGCAGCACCCGCATCAGCAGCACCAGCAGCAGCAGCATCAGCACCACATGCAGCAGCAGCATCAGCACCACATGCAGCAGCAGCAGCAGCAGCAGCAGCACCCGCACCACCGCCAGCAGCAACACATGCTGGCGTTCCCGCCTCTGCAGCACCACAACCAGCAGCCGCACCCGCATTACCATGGTGGCCCGTATGGCCGCGGGGGCATGCACCGACACCAGGTATGCGCCTATCACCCTTTCTGCTATCGTCTCTTCCTGCTATGCTTTGTTTCGTCTCGCACTGCACTGCACTGTCTGATGGGCTTCTCGTTGTGCGTCCTTGACCTTCCTCGCCCCAGCTAGATTGTTCTTATACACGTGTTTTCTGTCCCTTCCTTGGTGTCTCAACACGAGTCCTGCTTGTGCCCCCACTGTGGTACCTTGTGCTTTCACCACCCCACAGCGTGCGTACCCTCCCAACCAAGGCCGGGGCCAGCCCATGCAGTCAACCCAGCCGCCTGCCCCAGGGGGGCCTGCAGGAGCCCCCCCTGCAGCAGCTGAGGCAGCAGCAGCTGGAGCAGCCACCACTGCCCCTGTTGCTTCAGGCCAGGCTTCTGCTGCCCCTACTGCTGACAAGGCTCCTGCTGCTGCTGCCCCTGCTGGTGCTGCCGATTCCGGTTCTGCGGCGGCAGAAGGGGTGTCTGCCGCTGCTGGCGCCACGTCTGTCACTGTTGGTGAGGTGACTGAAGCACTGGGTTCCTTGAAGGTGGGTGGGGGTGCTGCTGCTGCTGCAGGTGGTGCTGACTCCTCTGCTGCTGCTGCTGCCCCGGCAGCTGTGGATTCTGGAGCTGCTCCTACCAAGGCAGAATCTTCCAAGTGATTTCGATTGTAGTGACTCGATAGCTTCTTTCATTGGTACCCTTGGGAGAAATGGGGAGACTACAGGTTCTGGTTGGTTGGTTGGTTGTTGAGTTTCTAAGGGTTGGGGCTTATTGAAACCTGTCTTATCTGCTCTGGGGTTTGGACGGGGTGTCTGGATGTGCTGTGAAGGTTGGCTCTTGGTGCATTTTGAATAGAAGAACCGTGTGGAGTTGACTTTTGGTTCAGGGGGGCCTGGGACGGGAGAATTTGAGTGCGATTCTTAGGGGTGGAAGGAGATTTCTGAGGTAGGCTAGTGACTACAAGCTCCAAGACTGAGACCATGCAGGATCTTGCGGTGTTTACCTTAGGGTGGTGGGTAAAGGAATTGCAATTGCAGTTGGAAGAGTTGGGCGTGAATTGTGGGAACTGAACTGAGCTATGTAAGTGCTGTTTATTGTTTTCACTTCGCTCTCCCTAGTGTTTTGCAGTTAGGGAGCAAGGTCAATTGCTGTTGCGTAATCGGGTGAACCAACATAGAAGACCGTTTAAATCAGCCATCACACAGGATGAGAGAAAACATAAATATATATACATTGCAGAGTACATACATGAGAGATTCATCCTGTTCTAATACAGAACCATTCACATTAGAACCCTCTCATGGATGTACAGAGGCAGCTGAGAAGGAAATCAAGAGTTTAGGCAGCAAATGTCAGTAGGGAAAAGATCCCTCATCACGGGGGAAAGTTTACCGTAAGTATGGAGAGGTGTGGTGCAGCTGTAGGAGTGGAATGGTACAGATGAGACGGAGAGAGAGAGAGAGAGAGAGAGAGAGAGAGAGAGAGAGAGAGAGAGAGAGAGAGAGAGAGAGAGAGAGAGAGAGAGAGAGAGAGAGAGAGAGAGAGAGAGAGAGAGAGAGAGAGAGAGAGAGAGAGAGAGAGAGAGAGAGAGAGAGAGAGAGAGAGAGAGAGAGAGAGAGAGAGGAGAGAGAGAGAGAGAGAGAGGAGAGAGAGAGAGAGAAGAGAGAGAGAGAGAGAGAGAGAGAGAGAGAGAGAGAGAGAGAGAGAGAGAGAGAGAGAGAGAGAGAGAGAGAGAGAGAGAGAGAGAGAGAGAGAGAGAGAGAGAGAGAGAGAGAGAGAGGAGAGAGAGAGAGAGAGAGAGAGAGAGAGAGAGAGAGAGAGAGAGAGAGAGAGAGAGAGAGAGATAGAGAGAGAGAGAGAGAGAGAGAGAGAGAGAGAGAGAGAGAGAGAGAGAGAGAGAGAGGAGAGAGAGAGATAGAGAGAGAGAGAGAGAGAGAGAGAGAGAGAGAGAGAGAGAGAAGAGAGAGAGTAGAGGACGTAGAGAGAGAAGGAGAGGAGGGAGAGCAGAGAGAAGAGAGAAGAGAGGAGAAGAAGAGAGATCGAGAGGAGAGAGAGAGAGATGTACCGAGAGAATAGAGGAGGATGAGACAGAGAGTAGAGAAGAGAAGAGAGGAGAGAGAGAGAGAAGAGAGAGAGACGGAGAGAGAGAGATGAGAGAGGACGAGAGACAAGAGAGAGAGAGAGAGAGAGAGAGAGAAAGAGAGAGAGAAGAGAGAGGGAGGAAGAGAGAGGATGAGAGAGAGAGCAGATGAGAGAAAGTATGAGGAGAGAGAGAGAGAGAGGAGAGAGAGAGAGATGAGGAGAGAGAGGAGAGAGAGATGTAGAGGAGATAGAGAAGGAGAGAGAGAGAGAGATGAGAGGGAGAGAAGACGAGAGAGAGAGGAGAGGAGAGAGAGGAGAGACGAGAGAGAGCAGAGAGCAGAGAGAGAGAACGGAGAGAGAGAGAGAGAGAGGAGGAGAGATGAGGAGAGAGGAGAGGAGAGAGAGAGATATGGGAGAGAGAGAGGAGATGAGAGAGAGAGCACGAGAGAGAGAGGAGAGAGAGAGAGAGAGAGAGAGAGAGAGAGAGAGAGAGAGAGAGAGAGAGAGAGAGAGAGAGAGAGAGAGAGAGAGAGAGAGAGAGAGAGAGAAGCAGTGCAGTGTGCACTGCAGAAATTAGCAGCAGCCGCGACTTGTGGCACAGACACTGCTGCTCACTGCTTGGCACGAGCTTGACTTGACTCCTCATGGATGATTCATGTCAAGTCAGGGTGGATCAGGTTGGTAGGTAGGATGTTTCTTGCTTGCTGGCAGGCTGACTCTAACAAACGGTACCGTATATGGTCCAATCCATGGCACTTGGTGCTTTCCCGCACCAGCATGGATTGGACAGGCGGTATGAGAGTCACTTGAGCAGCGTCAGGGGTGTAATGTCAGTGGAGGAAGGTAAATGGAGGAGCATCAGTGGAGGAAGGTCGAAGGAGGAGCGTCAGTGGAAAGAAGGTAAAAGGAGGAGCATCAGGGGAAGGAAGGTAAAAGGAGGAGCGTCAGCGGAAGGAAGGTAAAAGGAGGAGCGTCAGTGGAAGAAGGTCAAAGGAGGAGCGTCAGCGGCAAGAGCGTGAGCATGAAGCGGAGCAGCACATATCAATGGAAGAGCAAGCGCCGCATGACACGCCTGTGGTCAAACGGAGGGTCAGTTGAGCAGCGTCAGTGGCAAGTGCGTGAGCAGCACGAAGCGGAGCAGCACATTATCAGTGGAAGAGCAAGCGCCGCATGACACGCCTGGCTGGAGTGCCGGCTTCTGCTGCCCGCAGCAGATAAAGAGACGCCGACCCAGCAGGTAGTCTGGGCTTGCGGGGAGTGCTGGGGCAGGTGAGCGGCGCAGCAAAAGGGTCAAACAGCCGCCGAGGGGACTGCAGGCTGGAAGGGGAGTGGGGAGGCTCTTCTTCTGCCGCTGTGGCTTCTGGTGCTGCCAGTGCTGGCGGTGCTGCTGGTGCCGCTGGTGCTGGTGGTGATGGTGCGGGTGGTGGTGGTGGTGCCGCTGGTGCCGGTACTGCCGGTACTGCTGGTGCTGATGCTGCTGGTGGCGGTTCAAGAAAGTTAGCAGGTATAAGCGCCAGTGGGCCGGGCTGGGAGGGTGCTGAAGGTGGGAGCATGGACTGGTTTCCTGTGGAGAAGAGGGAGAAAGGAAGAGATCAAGAGGGTAACGGGGGGGGGGGGGGAGAGTGTGAGTGTGAAGAAGCAAGGGTGCGAGGGAGGGAGAATGAGAGAGAGAGAATGGAGGAGCAAGGGCGCGCGCAAATGGCAGCTGCGAAGGAGGTGACAGCCATTTGTGTGCCATAAAAAATCCACTTACCCTCAGACGCATTGCCTGCAGCAGCAGGAGCTTGCAATATCACAGCGGGGCCAGGAGTGATACAGGCGGAACCGGAATCGGAACCGGGATCGGACCCGGGACCGGAACCGGCAGAGGTAAAACTCCGCTGTTGCTGTGTCTGTTGCTGTTGCGGCTGCAGCTGCATCTCCCCGCTCTCCTCCTCGCGGTGCTCCCCCTCGTGTAGACTCAACTGCAGCATGCGCCTCACTCCAAAGCCCACAGTCGGGCCCTCCTTCTTCTGCTTCTTGCTCCTCTTGTTGTTGTTTGACCAATCCATGTCGCCTTCAGCAGCAGTAACAGCAGCAGCAGAAGCAGCAGCAGCGACACCAGCAGCGATGATAGTGGAGTGAGCAGCTGCAGAACACTCTACGTCCGCTGCAGCGTGAGTATCCTTCAACCCTGCCAGCAGCACGGCACACTGCAGCCTGCTACGCGCCCTGGGTCTCTTCGCATGCCGTGGGCTGCCTGTCAGCCCTCCCAATCCTTCCGGTGCTGCTGTTTCTGCTGTGGCTGCCGCTGTTGTCGTTGCTACTGATCCAAGCCCATCCCAGGCAAGCGCCGTGGGCGGGGAGACGCAGGGAGAGCCGTCCAGATGAAGAGGCGGAGGCATGGCGACTGTGGGCTGGGCTCTGGCGGGGCGGTGCAGAGAGCACGGCGCGTGCAAGTGCCTGGGACTGCCGTCTGGACGGCTGCTCCTGCCGAGGTGGCGGTAGAACGGGTGGCAGGGACCAATAGAAACCTCCGTGTGGTTACCAGCGTCGTTGGCAGCCTCGTTAGCAGCGTCGTTACAGGTGTGGTTACCAGTGTGGTACTGGAACTTGAGAGGGAGGAGATGATTCTCGGTAGTCTCGAAGGCAATGTCCGAGTCGCTGCTGCTGCTGCAGCTGCCTTGGCTTCCGCTCTTAATCTTGTGCTTCGCGTCCCTCACGCCACCACCGCCGCCGCCGATGCTGCCGCCGCCGCTGCTGCTGCTGCTGCTGCTGCTGCTGCTGCTGCTGCTGCTGCTGCTGCTGCTGCTTCCGCCGCTGCTGCTGTTGCTGTTGCCGCCCCGATTGCAAACTGCCGTTCCCAGGAAGGCGAGTTTCATTCTGGAAAGCACCCCTTCTGTCTCCCACTGGCCGTTCACCAGGGAAGGGGGAAGGGGGAAGTGGGGAGAGGAGGTGTCGAAGAAGTCGTCTTTTGAAGATGTGTGTGCTGCCCCCCTTGTACTGTGCCTCACAGCAGCACAGCACGGCTGCACTCGCGGCAGCAGGTGACCGTCACGGGAGGGATCACTGACCACGTGCCACGTGGCACGAGGAGATGAGCACGCGCGGAGAAGAGCGCCGAGCCAAGGAGGGCGCGCGTGGACGAACGCGCTTCGAGTGTCAATGAGCCTTCCAGGGATTAAAGGTTAATACCTTCGGAGGTACTAGTAGCTTAAGTCGTGGTGGTTTCCGTTAGTGGAAGTCGAAGTAGCTACTAGTTAATGCTTTTCAATGCCCGCCGCAGATACCAGCATTGGTAGTACTCCTAGTGTTGATAGTAGGGCTGCGCGAAACACGCAGGTCGGGTCTCCGCGGTAAGAGCGAAAGGGAAGAGCCGTGCCAGTGGCGAGACACGGGCTGACGAGAGACTCTCGGGAAGAAACGGGGAAATGAGGAGGTGAGGAAGCAGAAGGAGGGGATCTTATGCGTCTGCTTCCCCTACAGTCGAAAAGTGTCTTGGCATTCCTGAGCGACGGGCGTGCGGAGAGACCAAATACAGGGTAGGATCTTATCGCCTTCCTTGCTCGCTCGCCCGTTGCTCGTTTGCCTTGACCTAGCGCGCGTTACTGGGGGTTCGGATCGGTCGCGTACTACTAGGGGTAGGGGACCGGTGTGGGTGGCAGTATTGAATACGAGATGAGAGACGAGCGACACCGGGGAAGTGCAGCAGGCATGCAGGCAGCAAGTGCGGCGCAGAGAAACAGATCGGGTCAAACCGTCCCGCTCACCTTCTCACCGCTCACGCACACTGCTCTCGCTGCTCGCTGCAAGCGGGTGAAGGGTGGGGGGAGAGGAGGGGAGGGAAGGGGGAATGGGAGGGAGGGCGGAAAGGTGCGGGGGAACGGAGGAGGCGCGTTGGTGGGTCCGCCTTTCCGTGTTCTCCGTTTTGGGTCAGACTTGCACACCCTCGCAGGGGGCAGAGGGGGTGGTCGAGCAATGTCTAGAACTGCTGCTGGTCACACCCTCACAGGGGTGACAGGGGCCACCGAGTCGTGTTGTCCCGTGGGGCCTCTGCGTCAGAGGCTCTGACCATTACTGTACCGTAGTGATCACTCTGTATTGAGGACCAAACGAGCAACTTCCAGGTAGGTTAGTAGCGATTGTAGGGGATTTGGGGGGAGGGTGAGGGGAGGAGAGGAGCGGAGGGGAGACGAGAGGAAAGGAGAGGAGGGGAGGGGAAAGATGGAAAGGGGAGGGGATGGGAAAGGAGGAGGGGGGAGGGGAGGGGAGGGGAGGGTGGGAAGGAGAAGCACCTCTGACTTCACGTGGAGCGCGGGTGTGCTTACTTGCTAGCCTGCGTGCGTGCATTGACGCATTGAAGCAACAGATCGGGGTTTGGTCGTGGCAGGACGGGATTGAGTGGTGGTGAGGCGAGTTGCAGTGGGTGGGTGGATTCTGCTCTCGCAGTCTCGCGGCGGCCTCGCATCGGCCAAGGGCAAAAAAGAGTTTGCTCTTTCAAACTCCAAAAAGCAGAAAGTGGGGATGGATGGAAGGGTGGGTGGGTGAGTGGGAGAGGTGGCTGCTTCTGTAACTCAGGGGTGTACTACTTTCACTACAAATTACTACGGAACCGCAGAGGGTTTGCGCGGCTCTCGGCCCGCCGAGCACTGGATGGTACGCTAGGCTGAGAAGAGCGTCTCCTTTCGATTTGGAGGAGTTCGTCCGTTTCCCTTCAGCTGGCCCGCCAGTGGCTGGGTCTGTCGGCGGGGAGAGCAGGTAGCAGCAGTACAGGAGGGATGACCTGACCACGTGAGAGAGGGAGCGAGGTGAGGCGAGACAAGGCGAAGGAAGGGAAGGGAAGGGAAGGGAACCGCGCAGGTCAACCGTCGTCGAGTGAGAAAGAGGCGGCTCGGAGTGAAGTACGGCGAGGTACTTAGTTGTTTTACCTAGCGGAAAGGACCAGAGATTCTAGTGAGGTAATGCTCGCACTTGAAACGACCAGAGATTTCTGCCGGGCCCCAGTTTTTGGACTAGGGAAGAGATGCGCCTGTGGTGGGCTGAGCTCGCCTCGCCAGAATGCAGACCCATCTGTCCGCCTTCCCTTTCTATTTCTCACCAATCGATCCGCGTTGCGTGGATTCGTTCTCCGAAAACCGGTCTCGTTTGTCGCTTGCTCCTGTCGCGCGGGTGACCAAAATACCACTGTATCAAACACAGTCACACGATGGCAGCAAAGAACAACCAGTCAGAATTGGGGCGCAAGGTGAGGGTACGGCCAGACCTAGCAGTAGCAGACAACAGCAGAGCAGTCTCACTCACACATTCAGCTGAAGGGCGAACTTTGGACATTTGAAAAAGAAGTCGAGGAGTCGCGGCATTCTTGCAGTTTGCATCGAGCCGCTGCTCTATGCTAAAAGGAGATGAAATGTGCGACTCGTACAAGTACATTGAGACGGTTGCGCCTCGACGTTTTATCCAATGAACAATCAGCTGGTCAACCAAGGCCACAGTGGCGTTACATGAACGTTGAGGTGGCGTTACACAACAGGCTACAATATTCGCCAGCCAGCTGCGCTGTCAGTCACAAACAGTAGACCATTAACCGTTTTCCGTTGATCGTCAGACAGTTTCATCAACTGCACGATAAAATGTTCCGATATAGTTTCTCAGTTGAGAAATTGTGTG